TACCTACCTACCTACCTACCTACCTACCTACCTACCTACCTACCTACCTACCTACCTACCTACCTACAGTCCTTCCTTCCTTCCTTCCTGCCTTCCTGCCTTCCTTCCTTCCTTCCTTCCTTCCTTCCTTCCTTCCTTCCTCATATTTTTGCCCCACCTTTCTCCTTGAAAAGGTCCCAAGGTGGCTTACAGCAATGAAAGACAATATTTAAAGTGGAAAACCATTAGTATACAAGGGTGGTTAGCATCATTAAAAGACATTTAAAACTAGGGACAAAGAATCAGGAGGCATCTTACATCAAATAACATTTCCCTGAAAATAAGACAGGATCTTATATTAACTTTTGATCCAAAAATCACATTATGGCTTATTTTGAGGGGATTTTTTTAATGTACTGTACAACAATCTACATTTATTCAAATACAGTCTTGTCATCTTCTGGTTGCTGCACAATAGTGGAGGGCAGGGTTTCACTTAACTGAGGCTTATTTTTGGGGTAGGGCTTACATTACGAGCATCCTGAAAAATCATACTAGGGCTTATTTTCAGGTTAGGTCTTATTTTCAGGGAAACAGGGTAGTACTGTACTAAAAATCCAAGTCAAGGCAAGAATGTGTAACTATCTAAAAATCAGACACGGGTTTACTTGAGGTACGACTGAAGAGAAAGATCTTTTTTGCTTGCTTGCAGAAGGATAGCAAAGCGGCAATATTTTGTCAAACTGTAACGGACGTCAAGGAAAGATCCCGGTCTTCTCCAGAAATGACTTGAGAAGGGTGTCGTTGTTTTGACTTTGTTGTTTGGTTTCTCTTTGTGAACAGGCAATATTTACATTTCTTGGAATTTGCCTTTAAGCCTTAAAACCCAGTCAATAAACAAGCATACACACTCACACACAAATAGCGGTTTGGTTATAAAGTGCAAACAAATGAGTCCACTAAAGTTGGTTTAACAACATTATTTGGAGGCAACGAAGTTTTCAGTTCTACGTTTTGAGAGATGTATCTGTTTGCTGATTTCTTATTGACTTGAGACAGCAAAATATCCCTGTTGCAAACTTCCTTAGACACGATCTTTCTGGAAGTTTGTTGTTAAGGTTTCATTTTGTTATTTATGTCTTTATTTGAACCAGTGGGTTTCTTTTGACTTCGTAATTTCTCTTTGCACCCTGGTCTAAAACGGTACAGTTCAGGAAGTGCTATTTTTTGCACTCTTCTGCCATTTCTTTGTAGCCCAATATATGCTCTGCTTCCTTGATCATGTAGATGATCTGCGTTTTCACATATCTCTCTGCTTGCTGATTTCTCATTGACTTCAAAACAGCAAAATATCCTGTTGCAAACTACCTTAGTGAAGGTTTCATTTTGTTATTTTTATTTATTTTATGTTTTCTTTGACTTTGTAATTTATTGATTGATTTATTGATTTAATTTATATCCCACCCATCTAGGCCAAAGTCTACTCTGGGCGGCTAACAACAAGTTCATAAAACAAGTTCATAAAACAATTTCATAAAACAATAACAGTACAGTTTCTCTTTGCACCCTGGTCTAGAACGGTTCAGGAAGTGCTAATTTTGCACTTTTGTGCCATTTCTCTGTGGTATATACGCCCTACTTCTTGGATCAGGTGTACAATTTGCCTTCATTCCAACGATTTATTGTTTAACGTCCAAAGAACAGAATTTGTAGGCACCTTGTGCTCGATGTACTCTCTCCTAGGCCGTTGCTTTTAAAATGTGTGCACAAAGAACCTCATAAACATTTCCCTTGTACGCCTTCTGTGTACTCCAAGAGTTCTGGGAAATTTGCAAAGTCTCCCGGGTGCAGGGTGGATTGAATCTTAAAATGAACTATATCATAAATCACTATTTAAATAATGATTTAAATTTTAAAAATGGGTTATTTAAAATAATTCAATAAAAAAAACTTTTAAAAATTTAAGCCATGATTTAAACCATGATTTAAGTCAATGTTTGTTTGTTGTTACATCATTGGTTCCCCCCCAACCCTGATTGGATGGCCCTGTTGCTCCAAGTTAATCAAATGGAGTGCTGCTCTATCCAGCAGCCCTCTCCATTTTTTGTTGCAGGGAAATAATATTTTTAAATCATTTATTGGTTGCCTTTATACTCTACATTTCCTCCAATGAATTTTCACCTGTTTATCCTCACAAGAACCCTGCAAGGTGGGTCAAGAAGAGAGAGAGAGAGCAAAAGAGGCAAGACTCAGTTTTGTGACCTAGCAGGGGCCAGAACCCCCATCGCCTAAGTCCCCGTCATAAAGCAGTTCCTGAGCTGAAATTGCTGGCGTCATAGTAATGTGTATGTCTCTGTGTGTGGAGGGGCGCTGTTATTTCATTAGGGCTGTTGTTGTAGGGTGATCTCCATGAAGTAAACCAGCCCCCTACCCACCACAATCTAGCAAGTGTTAGCATTATGCATTACCACACCGGCAAGATTTTCCATTGAGTGGAAGGCTAATATGGAACTAGTCGGACACGGCAGCCACCCCATCAGACTAGTCCTCATCAAGCCTTGCCTTCATGGGAGGTCCCCTAGCAGAGAACGGCAGGTCAGAATCCTCCAATAGTGTTTGGCAGGTTTTTAAAAAATGATTTAAGGCAGCGACTCCTCCCCTACCCACCAACCCACAGTGGACCAAACCCAAATGTATGCCGCTTAGAAGGGAAAGAACATGCTGCAACCTTTTGTTGCAGGGTATGTGTGTGTGGCCAAATCAGGGTTGAATGTGAAGCATAGGCTGCAACATTTTGCTGCAGAGAGGGTTCAAGCCATCAGGGTGGGACATCCTCCGGCAGGTCTTTCTTGTGCTTCTAAGTTTAAATGTGGCTAGAAGCGTGTTAGTATTAAAATAAGTTTAGCTGTTGTTGAAGGAACAGGCCTTCTTCCTATTCCAAGTGTAGGAAGCAACTTTAGAGTAGCCCAGAACAGATTGGCTTACTTATTTTCTCTATTTACACTCTATTTTCTGATAAAGCAGGGGAAAAATTATTTATTTATTTGGCTTTTATACCACCCATCTAGCCAAATCTACTCTGGGCAGCTAACCTGCTAGCCATTTAGAAATCCTGTTAGCTCTTTAGATGAGCCAGACGTGGTGGATGCATTTGTAAAAGTCTTGGAGAAAGGCCGAGGGAGCCTTATCCATTGTGCTGCCCCCAGTTCGAGCTCGTAACAGCTCTTGAGAATTACGCCATCTCTGACTCATAAAAAGCACCCGTCCCAAGGTTGTGGAAAGGTGCCCTTGGTTTAATAGTTGCATCGAACAAAGAGCAAGTATAAACTTATTATCTTCCCCTCCCCTCTCCTTGTGGTTTCTGTGTATTCATGATTATCGCTCTGTGTGATCAAACTTTGTAGAAAGCTGTTGTTATGAATGGGAAAGAACTGCATTGAAATCTTACTGCAGCCTCGATCTAACTAGGTGTTAGCCTTATATTTCCAAAGTGGAAAGAGTAAAATGGCTCTACCTTGCTGGCCTGCTCACCAATGGTCACAGGATCCATGTCCAAGGAAAGCTGAAAAATCGGTTGGTGGGTACCATACAACGTTGCCGTACAGTATCATAAATGCTGGGCTCGGCTTCACGAATCCCGGGTTCAAGTCCTTAGTGTCATCACGCAACTCATTAGATGACCAGAGAAACACACACACATACACACTCCCCACTCACATGTGTCTTACTGCACAAAGTCTTTGGGAAGGACAAAGAAGAAGAAGAATTTAGTTCTAAATAGAAAGGTTTCCATTCTTTTATTAACTTCTTCTCTGCAGCCTGGACCAATAAGAAAAACCACGTCAATATCCCAAACTCCCCTTCTTTGCTAGAGGATTTCAAAAAGGAGAATGAGTGGCAACTCAAAAGAAGCAGAGTTGTGAACTCAGCCAACACTCATGGACCCATAAGGGCTGCCATCTTGCTTTTTTCATGTCTCCCCTCTTGTTGTCTTAGGCACTCTTCATGGCAGAAAAAAAGCAGCGCACAAATGTATGCCGGTAGTTCAGACCTTAAAGGCCCAGGAAACCGACCAGGTTAAAGGTGGGTGGCCTTGTTTTCCCCACGGAAAAGATTGGTGCCTTGCTACTCTCGTTTTAGGCTCACCTTGGCCGCTACCTTTTGGGTCCCTCCGCGTCCCCTCCTCTCCACCACCATCTGTGTTCTGCCACTTCCTGCCGCAGTTTCGGTTGGGTTTGTGGTTTAGGAGGAAAAGCCAGACGGGCGGATGCGTCGGCGGATCGCTTCAGTTCCTTGTGGCTCTTTCAAAGAAGGAGTAGGGGGGGCCTGTCTCTCTGCGTTGGTAGGGAAGGTCTTTTTCCTGCAAGCATCTTTGATATTCCCAACATCTGTTGATATTCCCAACATCTGGCTGCAGCAACGGGCAGAGCCTCTCTGTAGAAGGATTAGGGTAGACTTCTCAATTATTATTATTTTTTTGAAAATCATGACATTGCTGAATGAAACCTGCTGACATTTGCATCGTGAAAACGGGAAGCAGGAAGTCCAGGGTCCCAGGCCCGCCTCGCAGGGAGTGCACCAGCTGCAAAATCCAACACAGAAGCAATGTGTCCAAAACGGGGACCTAGAGACTTTCTTAAAAGGATTAGGGTAGACTTCTCAATTATTATTATTTTTTTGAAAATCATGACATTGCTGAATGAAACCTGCTGACATTTGCATCGTGAAAACGGGAAGCAGGAAGTCCAGGGTCCCAGGCCCGCCTCGCAGGGAGTGCACCAGCTGCAAAATCCAACACAGAAGCAATGTGTCCAAAACGGGGACCTAGAGACTTTCTTAAAAGGATGGACGAGCGGAAAGTTGGAAGCACACCTTGGTGTAGGTAAGGGCTTTTTGTGTCTGGGCGTGAACAGGAGCAAGAAATTCATTTGCATCGTGAAAACGGGAAGCAGGAAATCCAGGGTCCCAGGCCCGCCTTGCAGTGCACCAGCTGCAAAAGCCAACACAGAAGCAATGTGTCTAAAACGGGGCCCTGGAAACTTTCTTAAAAGGACGGACGAGCGGAAAGTTGGAAGCACACCTTGGTGTAGGTAAGGGCTTTCGTGTGTGGGCGTGAACAGGAGCAAGAAATTGTCACTAAGACAGGCGAAGCCATCTAAAAAACCTTTGCGGTGTGGGGAGAATTGACGCCGAGGTCTTAAAAATATGGGTGAAATGTTGCAGGAGTTCTACTTTCTCCTAAGCTGAGGGTGACTGGCACTCCCACCGTCCTCCGATCAACACTTTGGGAGATGGATAGGTGTTTGGTTTAGGTCTCTGGCTATGGAGCCAGGGGTTGGAAGTTCAATCCCCCCCCCCGGGCCTTCTTGACAGAGGTTGGACTCCAGAGGGTCCCTTCCAGCTCTGCTGTTCCAAGAGGATGATTATTAGAACTCTTGAATAGTTCTGTGGTTGAGGCATCTGGCTGCAGAGCCAGAGGTTGGGAGTTTGATTCCCCCACTGGGCCTGCTCGATGGGAGCTGGACTTCATGATCCAGAGTGGTATTTGTTTGTTCCTTTTAAATATTTGTATACTTATTATTTTTAGCTTTAAATATTGTCTTTTAATGATGTAAACCACCTTTGTATACACTCGTTGTTTTTAGTTTTGAATATTGTCTTGGAACAATGTAAGCTGCCTTTGTATACACTCATTGTTTTTTGCTTTAAATATTGGTTGTTAATAATGTAAGCTATCTTGGGAGAAAGGCAAGGTAAAAATATTTTAAATAAATAAATAAACTTGAAAGTAACCAAAAGTCCACTTCCAGTGTTAAATAATCATGATGATCGTGTTCTGTAAAGTCAGTTCTGACTTAGGGTTATTTATTTATTTATTTATTTATTTATTTATTTACTGTCATTGTAAGTATATACACATTTTAGAGTTTTCCAGGTAATCTTCAGAAGTGCATTACCATTCCTTTCCTCTAGGGGCAACCTTGAGACTGTGCAGCTGGCCCAAGGCCCCCAGGGCTGGCAGCTCTTTTTTTTTCTGATTAAAAGGAGGAGTTGATGGTCATGCTTCCTACTTATAGGTGTTTCATTATTTATTTACTGTCATTGTAAGTATATACACATTTTAGAGTTTTCCAGGTAATCTTCAGAAGTGCATTACCATTCCTTTCCTCTAGGGGCAACCTTGAGACTGTGCAGCTGGCCCAAGGCCCCCAGGGCTGGCAGCTCTTTTTTTTTCTGATTAAAAGGAGGAGTTGATGGTCATGCTTCCTACTTATAGGTGTTTCATTCTGTACTGGTTGTTGAGTGAGAGGCTGGAAGCTGCAAAAACTGGGAGAGCTTCCCTGAGGCTGGTTCTCCAAAGCTACATCATGTAAAAGCTTTTGCTGTGTTGCAACTTATTAATCCTTCGACCTAACAAATAATTTGGCAGCTGCTTGAAATCATACAAGGGTGGCAGAGAACGGAATATTTTAGAGAAAATGTGCGGCTTGTAATTCCTGGGCTGTTTGAAGGACTTACTTAGATAATTCTGTATCTCAATTGGCCCCCTTTATTTTTTAATAGGCCTCATTTGTTTCCTGGCTGGGATTCAAGCACAAGGAGGAAACAAGCTGGATAAGCATCGTCTGGATGTGACAATTGTGCGCTGGTTCTTAAATGCATCAGAAAGGTGACCCTTTGGGGAGTCCTGGCGAGGCCTCAGCATGTACTGGTGTGTGGGAACAGAAGACTCTCTGGAGGACAGTAAAAGCAATATGGCGGCACCCGAAGGTAAACGAGTTGGCATTTTCTGTTCCTCCGTTAGTTTGCTTTGGGTGTAACTTGGTGGGTTGGCTTTTGCTGGTTCCACATAACTGAGAAAGATCGAAGTGCAAGGAGAAAGATCGAGATGCAAGGAGAAAGATCGAGTTGCAAGGAGAAAGACTGAGATGCAAGGAGAAAGATCGAGATGCAAGGTCCGCTCCGCTTTCACAAAAAAAGATCGAGATGCAAGGAGAAAGATCGAGGTGCAAGGTCCACTCCGCTTTCACAAAGTTTCTCTCTCACATGGTGGGACGTGTCTATCTCTTCACAATGTAATTGTCAGGAACTAGGTCCAGTAAGACCCCTATATGCTGAAAAATATGGATGATAGTGAATGCTATTTTAATAGCAAAAAACTATACATAGCGTGGCCTCTGGCTTTCTTTAGTGGCCAGATCTATTCACTCTATCTTTAGAAATAAATATTTTTACGATTTTTAATATTTTCAAACCGTGGATACTGATGCTGTGGATAAGGCGGTCTGACTGTATCCTGCTTTTAGTGGGCATTATTTTGTAATTTTTTAAAAAAGGCTTATAATGGGACTTTGCTGAGGAAATTCTGTGGCAAGAGGGAAGACGTGTTTGTGGTGGAGAATTCACATTCGCCACAATGTCCCGTTTGATTCTTGTATCACACAGCATGGGTAGGAGTTTGTGTTTCCCTTTCTCTCCTCAAACCTCCTGCTTGATGGTGCTGGGCTTGGTCTTCTAATAATTGGGCGTTCAAGGTCAGTGAGATATTTAAGGAGCGGTTCGGCCAGTTTCCATTCCCCTCGTGAGCTTCCCATGGCCAAGCAGGGATTGGAACCCTGTTCTCCAAAGTCCCGAGGCTGTCATTTTATCCATTACACCCTATGGGGAATCAAAATATTTTAAATATTAAAAATAAATAAATAAAGGTCAACAGCTGTGAGATGCGCCTTTAAAAACCAGCAAGAAGGAACAAAGGACCCATTTTTAAATATTAAAAAGTAATGTATTTGCGAAGGCTTTCACGGCCAGAATCTAATGGTTGTTGTGGCCATGTTCTGAAGGTTGTTGGATCAGCTTTGTCCTTTTCAGGAGATGGGCGATTATGGTGATCAGTGTGTTTTTGTTGTAGGTGTATTGTTGTGATAAGGAGGAGGGATTACCTGTCACTGTGATTGATGGGTGTCATTAGCTGGATTGTCACAAATGCTGTATTTAACGGGAGCAGTGGCATGGAGATGCTCCACGTTCTTCTCAGCTCCAGCAGGAGGAGGTTCTGCCAAAGAGCCTTGAGGGAAGTTCCATCTGCCTTTGGTCTGGGATTTAATCATCTTCCCTTCTCTTCTGCTGCTTCCAGGAATGGGCTTTTTCCTTCATCAAGAGGAAGTACTGAGGAATGAATGTGGGGCTCGGTGTGAGAACCAAGAAGAAGCAAAGCGTTGATGGCAAAGAAACGGCTGCTTTTTAAAAATCCTGATACCTTTTCTACCTTTAGTAGAGATCTTATGCAAGGAGATATCAAAGTACTTCGGGAATTTCCTGCCCCTCTGTGTATGGATTCTAGCTCCTCAGATTTCCGCTTTCTCTTCCCAGCTTGTATTGAATGTCTATTTTAACACACACACCCTTTGAGAGGGGCCTCCGTGTAGTCTATGAGCATCGAACAAATTAATATAACCATTGAAATGTAATAATGACATCCTTTCAAGCCATAATGCAGCAGGATTCTCCAAGGGAAGGCTGGGGGAGTCCTCATTAGGAACTGTCTGCATGAAGTTGCTATGGCAGTGATTTGCATTTTTTTTAAAAGACTGCCCCCAATTTCAGCTCAACGTAGCAGGTGTTTTTCCGCCGTGTGCTCTTCAGGATGTGGCTGAGGTTGGTTCCCCTATCATGTATTGCGTGGCTAGAGGAAGATGGGGTAAAGAGCAGTCGTGATGGCTGCCTTGGGTATTTTACATGAGAGTAAGTCTAGTTTAACTCAGTGGGGCTTTCTAGTGAATGTGCATGCATGACTTTGGGTTGCCTGATTTGTATCTCTCTGTACATCTGTGGTGCACGGAATAAAACTGCATAGGCATTTCAGCCCTGTAAATAAGCCTCCCACAGTTGCAAAATTCCTAATTATTTAGTAAATTGCTGAAGAATGGTAGGAGAAATAGAAGACTGTGTTTCAATGCTGGGCAGAGAGGAAGGTTTACCTCTTCCCCTCTTGCAACCTGTGCAGTTCCCATGTTGGATGCAGAAATGGGCAGAGCACTTAAATTTCTTTTCTGCCAGACCATATAATCGCCTGCATAAAATTCCTGCTCACCTCTGGTGACCAGGTTAGTGATTAAATATGGAGCTGGGGCTGAGCTACAGTGTGTTATTTTCCATGCTCTTTTTTTTTCAGAGGTGGGAAAATTTCTTTATTGTAGGGCTAAAGCTCACAGAATCCTACACCCAGACCAAGAGATAGATCCCTCGCACCAACTTTCCTCCTCCCTCTCTCTATTTTTTATTTTTTTGCATGGGATGGTGGTGCAGTTTCATTGCCATGTCTTCCCTACTCTTTTCAGTCCAACAAAATCCATTCCTACTTCTATGAATGAACAAATGTTACGAGTCGTTCTGGTTGTGTCTAGTAGCCACAGTTTGCTTCCGTCAGGACACCCGGATGTCATAGGATTGTCGGAATGGAAAGTTGAGGAAGCACCTAAGGGTCATTGAGACCAACCTGCAAGGAATCCACAGCTAAAAGCACACACACACACACACCCATCAGTGGCATATCTGAACTCTGTTTGAACGTTTCTGAAGAAGCAAGAGTCCGCAACCAAGGTGAACCAAGTTCGGGAATTCCTTCCTAAGGTTTCCTTAGAAGATTGTAATTGGAATCCATTGGTACCAGCAGTTTGTGCCAGTTGGTCCTTTGGATGGACAGGTGTTTGGCCCTTCCCAGCGCTGCCTCCTCCAGTAGGTGCCCGCTCAAAGGCAGCTTCCCTGCCCTGCCTCCTCCAGGCACTGCCTCTATGTGGGTTCCTGCTGGAGGAGGCGTGGCTGGGAAGTGCCGAACACCTGTTCATCTGAAAGACGAACCACCGAACTGGCAGTTTGTGCCCATCTCTAGTTCGCATCCTTTCCTCTGGGGCAGCAGAAGATAAACTTGTTCCATCTTCCATGTGGCAGCCTTTTAGAAATTTGAAGATAGATATTACATCACCTCTAGTGTTATCTCCTTTGAGCTAAACGTACCCAGCTTCCTCAGCCATTCCTGATGGAATTTAGTTTCCAGGGACTTCTTTTTAAAAGTCTTCTTGGTCACTCTTCTCTGGAGATGCTCCAGACACTTAACATCCTTCTTAAACTGAAAAAAAATGTAGGTTTCTGTACCCTAAGCATGAAGCACCATGTTTTGGAGAGAACTTGCATGTGATCATCCCTATTATTCAGCCGTTGGTGTGACAGCTGACGGGGTCAGCGCGAATAACTCATAAGGCTTTAAATTATCTCTTGATGTTTGTTGGCAAATCATGCCTACAGATAGTTTATAAAAGCATCTAGGTAAACAGGTCCAGAGAAGTTGCTAGTTTTTTTTAAAAACGCATTATTGGGCTGCTTCCCTTGACACATATAACATCCATTTTTAGTGTACTGATTCCTGTACATTTTAAAAGGAGATCATTTTAAGCGGGCACCACCGTTGGAGTGCTCCTGGTCACCTGGAACCTTACTTTGCTCGTCGTAGGTGACTGACTGGTTGTATACAAGCCCGGATAAATATTGTGAAACTGGCTAGAGATGCTATTTGTTTTTAAAAGCAACATTTAGAGGTTGATCCAAAGGAAGGGGGAATATCTTACATTATTCCTTGCTTGGCCCCGAGTTCTGTTTGACTTGGCATGTGGAACTAAGGAGTTTGTGGGGACATAGTATTTCAGTGTTATAGGCACAGCATGTAATAATAATGTGTTTATTGCAGTTGTTGCATAACTAAATTTAGTCAAAAGCTTTCTCCTCTCTCCCCCCCCCCAGCCTTGAAGTCTTGCCATTTCTTCAGCGTATGTTTGGCAGCTTATGTTATATAACTTCCCCATCTGAATCCTGGATTCCATGTCTGAGGAACCATGAGATTTGAAGAGGGTGCTCGTGCTCATTTCGGGCTAGGCGCTCCCTGCTTCTCCGGTCTGACATGGAAGAAATTCTGCAGAAGCTATTTTTACCTCTTCCTTACCATCCCTCTCGCACCCACCTACGCTCCGTGCCGCAGACGTGCTGTGGCGGCTTTTGTACCGTCTGCTTTCTTTATCTGTTTGGACGAGGGGAAAATTCCATCGACATGTATAGGGATTTCTAACCAGGGGAGGTCTTAGAACCGGGGGGGGGCATAGAAAACAAGCTCTCAGAATAGCTTCCAATAACGTCCCCTCCTTTTCCCACACAAATGATCTGGAGAGGTATAGTAGGTCAAGATGACGTGGAAGGAGTTGGAGGGAAAAGAGAGCATTATTGACAAGTAACAAATTCGATTGATTGATTGATTGATTGATTGATTGATTGATTGATTGATTGATTGATTGATTGATTGATTGATTGATTGATTGATTGATTGATTGCATTTGGTCGTTTAGTCATGTCCGACTCTTTGTGACCCCACCGACCAGAGTACACCAGGCCCTCCTGTCTTCCACTGCCTTCCCGGAGTTGTGTCAAATTCATGTTGGTTGCTTTGATGACCCTGTCCAACAAATTCGATAGTATAGGTTTGAACCTACTCAGCTTTACTCTGGTCTTGCTAATCACCGAATCACGGTCAAATTCATGTTGGTTGCTTTGATGACGCTGTCCAACAAATTCGATAGTATAGATTTGAACCTACTCAGCTTTACTCTGGTCTCGCTAATCACCAAATCACACTAGCTTCGTTTGCAATCGTCTTGCATTTTGTCATTGGCGCCTTTTGAAGATGGTTGGGCACCTGGGCTCAGAAGGTGCGTATCCACCATCTTAGA